TCGAAAGGGATTTTCATAACTGATGCCAATTATGCTATAAATCTTGAAAACCCCGACCCGTTGAAGTTCAGTACCGAAACATTCATCAAATTAGCTCTAATGGGCACTTAACTAATGATCATTAAATTCCCAATTCTGGCATCTGTTTTTCAACTCACCACAGTCTTTCGAAAGACAAAAGTCTTTCTATACCGGCAATAGTGATCGGACTTAAAAAAAATTCTGTGTGGTAGAATCTAGAAAAAACTGTGGTAGATTTCAAAAAAATTGGTAGATCTATGGGTTTGGATAAAACTTTGTACAAAAATTAAAAAAATTTCTGCAACCTTGCGGAGTGCTGCCAGCTTTTCTTTTTATCACATCACGAAGTAGCGAACAAATGTGGCACGTTCCAGAAACAGCTAATTGGGATTTGCCGATTTTGACAATTCTCAAATAAACGTAAACAACGCCCAGCTTTCGGACTACTAAAACTCGATCGATCGAGGAGTAAATGACTCTAAAAATCGGAGCAAAAATGAAATTTTCGGAACAGATTAACATTTTTTATTAAATAGTATAGCATTGAAACGGAGTGCTTGTAAATCAGCTTAATCTCTAAATAGTATTCAAACAAAACTTTACATGAATAAATTTATAATTTATTTTATTAACTATGTAAATAATCAGACGGCTAATAAATTTCTGACCTTTGGTTTAACTTTCAACTGTTTCGTCATTAAGCCTGTTTCTGTATTTATTTTTAATGAGATTCATCTCTGAAAATTTTCTTCCGGCAGCAGCACTACTGTGCAGTAAAATAACTAACATACACTCTGCCAAGTTGTTAAACATACACCTTTCCAAAACATGTTTGTGGTCCTTAATCAATCCCCTGCTTTGGGAAATAAAAAATAATTTCGCAAGGAATGTTAAGGCAACTTCTGTTACATCTTGCTATGCAAAACCTTGATGGTCGCCAAAGAAGTTGTTGAGCAAAAATTAGGAACTTACCATCTTATTTTTAATAAATTCTTGATGTGAATGGAAAAAAGTAAAAAAAAAATCTAAGCGTTTTTAGGTCAAGCGGAGTACGGAGTAGATTTAAAATTTATAAAAGAAATCGGAGTGAATCCGCTCCGACCGGAGCGAAGTCCCTCAGAAACCTTAGATGTACTTAAATTTGCTAATACTTTAACAAAAATCGCCGTTGCCAAAAAGAAGTCCGATTACCTACCGGAAACTGTCTTGAAAGCTCTTGTCTATATTTCGAATGAGAAATTAAAAGATCTGCTAACGAGGAGGGTAGAGTTGTTCTATTTATCGTTTAGCAATAAGTTTTCTAAAAACCAAACGAAATTAAAAAAATATTTCTCTAAAACAAGAACTAAAAACTTTAGAAAATTGAAGTAAGAAAAGAAAACAGATTAATCAAAAAAAATTCCAAACATTAAACAAAATAAAAGTATATATATTTATTTTTTAAGCAACAAAACTTAAAAATTTAAAAAAAAAATATTAGGAAAGAAAAAAAAATTGAACTCAGATCTCTCGAATGGCATGAAAGTGCTCTTCCCACTGGGCCATTGCCACTATTACAGCAACGTTATCGAAATTGAAATTTATTGAAAACAAACAAAAAATTTCAAAATCATTCGTTAAAAAGGTTAAGTAAAGAAGAGACTCTGAGAGGGATTTTTTTCAAACCGTTACTGAGGAACACCTTAAGTATTCATGAAACGACTCTGATTGCGGCTGTTCGGGAGAAAATATTTAGGTATTTTCAGAAACATTTTTGATTTCAGATATTTGCGCCTCACTCGCGATCGCTTAAAAACAAAAACCATATTAAATAAGAAAACATAAACAGGTACATGGACTATTTTGTCCAGCTTTGGCTATATTTCTTTCGTTAATTTAATGCTTAATATTTTTTTAAAAAAGTCTAACTCAATAATAACGCTGCACAGTGTTTCGACTCTATGGGGGCAGGTGGAAATAATAGTACACCTGCACCGATTTCACTGAAATTTGACATGTACTCTTACGTTTTACTTAGAAATAGAGAATTATGAAATTTTTAAAAGATGGAATAATTGCCATGCCCTCTACTCGCGTGGGCGGAAACATTAAGTTTCATCCGATTTCGATGAAATTTAGTTTGTGGTCTTTATTTTATTAGAAAAACCTAAATATAAAGTATGGCGAAGAGTGGATCACTATAACCTCCAAAACTAACAAAAAATGTGGGCCCAGTCATTAAATGTGATGGAATCTTGCTTTCCACTCTCAGAAAACAAAGGTTATACATACTATAAAATGACTTAGGTGTACTCGCTTTTTTCACAATGTTTGGTGAGATTTTTTCATTGTTCGAAAAATTCTTTTCGCGAAATGATGCAAAAATAAGCTGAAAATTAAAAATTAAGAAAATCAAAAATTTCATTCATTTGCATAGTCGCGCGCAAAGGTCAAATTATATATTCGAAAACTACATAAAATTCTCTAACACATTCGTCTAATTTCAAGACCTGACGGACCGGTACTCACAAACTTTTTTTTACTAATAATCTTTAGCATCTACATTTCAAAGTAAATTTAACATAGGAAAGTACCAAATAAATTATAAATACCTCCACCTGAATATTCCATGACATTAAAATAATTAATTACAGTTAAAAAAAAAACACTTTCTTTAATGGGTTAATCGCCAAAGGCAACTAAACTGATTAGTCTGTATCGCGTCCATTCCCGTATTTTTTTTTGGAAATGTATCGTTCGTGAAGAAGGGGGGTGAGTAAATAATGTAAACTTTGGTATTTATGATTTTTACTTTTCCCTCTCTAAGTCCAACCGGTTTTTTTTATCAACTGTCACCACGACTTTTTTCTACCTGCCTCCATATAGTTCAAACACTGTGCGCTGTAAGGAAAATTTCAAGTTTTGAAATTACCAAAAAAAAACGCCGAAACACGTAAACTTAATTTTGTGTCGTAGATTACGGCTCTGTATGCCATTTTTCTATATTAGGTCATTTTCACAAGATAGTTGCATTTTGAATAAAAAAAAACGGGAAATTTTTTTAAATAAACGATATTTTGTAAATTCTTTTGATTGGTGTTAAAGCTTGTTCTTTTGCAAAAACATCAATCTATCAATCAAGAAAACTGATTGATAAATAAAGTTATAAATGGTCAAATGAAAATGCGTAATAATTAGTTTTTTATGAAATATGTGCATAGTATGTAGGACTAGGAAAGAATGTTACTAATACACCACTCATATGCCACACGTTGATTATTTGTTTATTTTTGACTTCGACGACGTCTGAAAATGGTAATTTTATCAAACAACAGCAAGATACAGCAGATAATCCATACACCAAATAAAAGTAGATATAATGTCCTTTTATCAGATATACATATTTCACATCGGACGAGATCGGACAGAAAAAGTCCCACTCTACGAAACAAGCACAATATGTATGTTTAAATCACAACATGCGCTTTGAAACAGTCAATTTTTCAAAACACTAATGTTATTTAAAGTCAATAGTTCAGACCATTAGTATTATTTTCCATTTTTAAAATAATCACACTTGAAACTTTTTATATACGTAAAACACATCCGCGTTGCACTGCAGTTCAATAAAATTCAAGCACAAACTAAAACCAAAACCACAAACTTTACGTGGCAGATAGGGGACCAGGGTTACCTTGCGGTCATAAATTTATAGTTTCTTTTCTAATTAGATTGTCTAGAATAAAGTCCGCCTGTTAAAAATTTTGAAAGCAAAAACTGAAAGTTGGACTTTTGTTCGCACCAAGTGCTTATTTCAGCCATAGTGCAGTGTATGAACGCCCTATTCAAACTTTGTACAAAAATTATAAAACTTTATATTTTTTTATTCAGAGTTATTTGAAAAACTTTAGCTCTGCAGTTTTATAGCCAGGCGATTAAATTTATTAAATTTATTTAAATTTATTGTAAGTTTTAAGTGACTACAAAATACCGTTGGTTTTTACAATTTTTTTTCGAAAGGTATTCTGCCTTTTCCTTCATAAAAAGGTATAGTCAAAACATGAATTTCTTATGGAGTAAAGGCACAAAACCGACTTCGTAAATTGCACTTTTTATATCAAAAAAATGGAACAAGTGCGGCGGCAAAAAAAAATTTAAAAAATAACGCGAAATTATAGCTCTTAAAACTTTGCACTTTGTTATACTAAAATTCAAGAAAAAAGTTTAAAATCTAGGTGAAAATTTGTTGAGTTTTTATCATTTCAATGAAAAGTTTGAAATGCGCTTTTATATGCAGTTCAATTTATAATGCGCTTTTTATACTTTTATAAGAAACATTAATCATTAAATAAACAAAAGAAATATGTATAGCCAAAACTGGTCAAAATAAACTATTATGTTTGTCACCTGTAAAATATACATAACATATTATGCATGTTTGTATAAATGAAGTTCAAATATTCATATCTTCTGAAAACTGCAAAGTATCAAGGACCATATCAACGAGTCTTATTCGGTGTCGGAGCAATTGATCGAGATCGGCGTAATAGTCCCAGAAGAAATGTTGACAATAATTTTGCTTTCGAGTTTACCAAAGAGTTACGATAATTTTGTCGTGGCGATTGAAACGCGTGACACCTTACTACCGCTTAACGTTTTGAAGGTGAAACTGTTAGAAGAAGGCGAAAGAAGGACAGATATTGGAGAACGTGGAGAAGAAGGAGAGCAATAGCAGGCGTTTGTCGCACGGGTTCGGAAAAATGGTAATAACGCCAAAAGCAGCAGTTGTAATAAGAGCAACAGGAAAGGAGATAATAACAAGCATTCAAATGCAAAATGCTGATGGTGGTATTAGCAGATTCAAGGCTCATTAAGTGGCAAAAGGATGTAGTCAGCAATATGGTGTTAATTTTAAAGAAACGTTTTCTCCTGTTGTCAAATACGCAACGATACGTATGTTGTTGGCTTTGGCATTTGAGCATAAGTTGCTTGTACATCAAATGGACGTGCCATCGGCGTACCTAAATAGCGATCTTCATGATATTGTGTACATGAAGCAGCCAGAACATTTCGTAGATGAGAAGTCTCCGAAACGCGTATTGAGATTGAATAAAGCGCTCTATGGCTTCAAGCCATGCGCTAGCGAACCATGCGTTTACACCAATAACGATGAAGGTCACTTCAACATAATAGCTGTTTATGTAGATGATCTCATTATAGCATGCTCAAAAGCGAAGGATCTAAGGAATATAAAAGCCAAGATAGCAGACGCGTTCGAAGTAGTAGACGGAGGGCCATTGAAATATTTCCTTGGTATGGAAATGGAGCGGCAAAGCGATTTTGGTGATAAAACTGTTTGTCAGCGTCAATATATTTTAAATCTGTTAAAGCAACATGGAATGGACGAGTGTAAGTCTGTAGCAACTCCGCTGCAAGCTGATTTTCAGACTTATTGTGACAAGGAAGACTGCGAGAGAGTAAATGTAACTGAGTATCAATCATTAATTGGAGCTCTGATGTACCTCCCGATTTCACAAGACCAGATATTTTACATTCGGTATGTAAATTGGCACAGCGTAATACTGATCCACATCATGAACACCAAGTTGGAGCAAAACGTATGTTACGTTATTTAAAAGGCACAGTGGATTTAAAGTTACATTATGGTATGACTAGTAAACCTATTCAAGGCTTCGTAGTTGCAGACTGGGGCGGAGATTCAAGCGATAGAAAGTCCTACACCGGGTGTGCATTTGTTGCAGCCGGAAGCGTATTTTCATGGAAGTCGAAAAAGCAAAGCATTGTTTCACTAAGTAGTACCGAAGCCGAGTATGTGCACTATCACCAGCAGCGAAAGAATCATATAAAGAAGTATATAAAAAAAAATTGCTGGATGAGATGGGTTTCGGCAGTGCATCACCTATGATTTTGAATAGTGATAATCAGAGTGCTCAGCAGTTAGTTAAGAATCCTACTTATCATGCAAGAAGCAAACATATTGATATAAGATATCATCACATAAGAAATTTGTATAAAAATAATGAAATTACTTTGAATTATGTCAGTACACACGAAATGCTTGCAGATATTCTTACGAAGAATTTACAGAAGATTAAGCATTCAAACTTCACTAAATGGGACTGTCCTAGTTATTTAGACTTACTTCTCGAAATATGTTTTCGTTGAGAAGGAGTGTTGGAATATTTTATCTACTTTGATATGTACAGTAGCCACTCAACATATATTCATTGTAATGTAATTCTCTGTTTGAGTCAAAGAACATTTTCAACTGTTAAAAATTTTCATTCCGAAATATACTTTCATTCAACAAACATCTTTATAGAAAATTTTAACTAGTTTTATTTTCATACGATCCTTGCACTTCTAATATTTTTTTTATACCGAAATTCCCCTGCTGCTTGTCTCGCGATTTCTGCACAGCAAATTCGGTAACTTTTTTCAGTGGTAAATTCTTTGGCTTATGGAAATGGATAGTGTGCCTAAAAATATGCAGCATTTCCTGAAGCTTTACAAACACAATAGGTAGAAGTCGTAAGTAAACTTGTTTTCGATTTTTTCGGATAAAATATGTAACCTTTTGCTAAGCTGCGTACATGCATATGTACTATGTACGTATATTTATGTAAGTTGTTCCATGAATTTATTCATAAGCTTAAGTACAAAGATAGCATGGAGAGATTAAAACAAAAGAAGGCTGCACGCTGCTCTTCTGTTTCTGTTATTTTTGAAGGTGAAGGACTGATTCGGTTCTCTTATAAGTTAAAGATTTCCGGTTTGGAGAATTTGTATGCCTGTTACCTCCTTCTTTACTTGTCAAGTAATGTTGCGCTTTCTCCAAGGCAAGCTGATAAAGGCTTCTGGGCACCTTAGCTTAAAATACAGAGTGAACTTTCCCCATGCTAGTCAAAATGAGCCTTTGGAAGGCAATGGTCTTGAGAGTGGATGGCTGTATAAGGTTCTTACCTCCTGATTATCCCCCAAGATAAGTCTTGTTGCAAACAGTAGAGCAAGCGGCTCTATTAGAATGTACAGAGGAAGAAGATCTAAAAACGCTTCAAGAGCCGTGGTCGGTGTTGTTCTCATTGCATCAATGGTGCCCACACAGGCTAGTCGTTGGAGTACGCGGAGCTTGGCTTATGTGGACTCAATGTCTGTCTTCTTCGACCAGATGAGCGCAGCACATGTTAAAATGGGTTTGCAAATGGTTCCGTGCATCTATCTAGCCAAATTGGGTGTGATTTTTTTTTTTTAAGGGTTGCCAGCTATTTGAAAATTTAAATTTATCTAATATATACTTAAAATTATATTGAAATTTCTTTATTAACACGTTAATATTTAACGAACTTGAACAAAAAATTGGTATGGGATTGCCACCTTTCTTAAAATTTATAATAACGTTTATTAAAAAATGCAAATAAATACAATATGATAATGTGGATACCAAACGGAAGATGTTTGAGTAAGCTCTGATGGTAGCATGTTTTGAAAATAAGGTTGCCACCCGTCTAAAAACTAAGATGAGATAATTATGTAAGTAAAGTGATCTGAGTCAGTATATATATGCTTAACGAAAGTATTTTGAAAAAAATTGTATCTCTACCATGAATAGGGTTGTCACCTATTACTTATTAGAAAATTAGTTTAATACGCATATAAGTTCAGCAAAATATTATAATAAAGGTATCCCGGAAAAGGTACACTTTAATCCGTAAACAATTTAGGATAGGGTTGCCAGTTATTAAAAAAATAAAATGAGTTCAATACGTAATTTTAGTAAAGTATCGCATTTTTGGTATCAAATGGTAGGTGTTTCAATAAGCTTTAGTGCCAAGATGGTTTTAGCAATGTTGCCATCAATCCGCAAACTAATAATGTAGATAGATATTTATGAGGTAAATATTTATGGAAGTTACGTAAATAACTGCAATAATGCGTTATAACAAACAAATTTTAAAACTTGTAATTCACGCATATTCTTGTATAGGGTTGCCACTTGTATAGAATAGCAAAATTCGTTTGAAAAGCACGTTAGCTGAGTAAAATATTACAATATGTGTATCAAACAAAATAGATTTTAAACAGCATTAGCCCAAAGATATTTCTTACCATGGTTGCCAACTCTATTTAAATTAAAAAGTGACAATATTTATATCTGATGATAAGAATTGAACCGAAATTTCAATTAATTACAGCATTTCAAATGATTTATAAGCAAAGACTTTATTTTAATTTAAAGTGTTTAATTACTCTGTAAAGAAAAAAATTATATAAGGTCTTTCTATATTAGGGTAACTATATACATACATACGTTAATAGTCTACTCTCAAACCATTCACATTTTGCATTTTTAAACGAGAAATATGTAGGTAGACAGGCATATTGTCTTTTCAATGCAAATATGTATGTACATTAGGGTGGTCCCAAATAGGTAAAATCGGAATTTGAATGCTCTCACCCTCTAGAATTGTTCTAAAAATATTTAGAGGCCGCTCAAAGCGCTCAAAAGTTTTCCATGTATTTTATATGGGAAACCCCCATTGTTCGTGGCAATGGTTTAGAATTCTTCAAAATCAATATTTTCCGTTACGAAAACTTTGCTTCTCTTCATGATACTTTAGATAATAATAACATTTAACGTTTATTTAACCATTTTTTAGTATAAACAATTTTTCATAGGCTCCCTAAAATCCCCAAAAATGCAATGGGGCAACCCATACAAAATCGCTAGTATTATAAAATGGTAAAATAAACAATTGGGTATTATTATTGAAAGTCTCCTGAAGAGAACCAGAGTTTTCCGATCGAAAAATATTGATTTTCAAGAATTCTCTACCACTTGCAAGAAAATGTTTTTTTTTTAATTCAATTCAATTTAGATTATTTTGCACAAGTAAGACTATTGTCTCTTAAAGTACATCGACATTTGGAAATATATCTTTGTATAATTCAATATTTCATTATAAGTAAATACATTAGTTACAACTATTTTTATCATTTATATCTTATATTTAATTTTAAATACATTAGTTACTACTATTTTTATCATTTATATCTTATATTTAATTTAGTGAGAAATAAAATAGGAGAGCATATACATGCATAAGAATTTAGTTAAAGTAAACAGAGTTAGAGAAGTGTGTTTTCTATTGCAAAAAACTCCATTAAGGCCAATTTAAAGCGCGCTGTATTGCGTTCATTTTTAACGACATTCGGTAATGAGTTCCATAGTTTGATCGCACTGAAAAAGAACGTTCTAGATGACGAGAGATATTTATAGCGTGGAACAATGAGGTTGCAAGTCCTGTCTGACTTCGCGAAACATAAATTTCTAAAGAGGTATCCTGGTTGCCTTTTATAAATTAATTGATTTAGGAAAACTAGGTTGCGATAATTTAGGAAATAAGTAAGACTGCAGCCCATTATCTTAAAAGAAAACTCCGATATGTGCTCAAATTTTCGCTTCGAAAAGATATATCGTGCACAATTGTTCAGAGCAAGTTGCAGCTTTTTGTGTGATTCACAATCCATATTTCCATACAAGAGCCCACCAAACGATATCAGTGGAAGTATGAGAGTTCTCACCAATTTCAGTTTCACATTTAAAGGAATGAAGTCGGCTGTGTACCATAATTTTCTTAAAATAAAGTAGATTTTGCTTAGAATATAGTTAGTATGGTATTTACATCCAACCCTAAGCTAGTAACAACGGACTCGTATTTGATAGTAATGCCTTGTATGGTTAAAGATGGTAAATTCTTTACAAGTTGCGAGGAGTAGGTAATACAAATAGCTTTTGTCTTAGAGGCATTTAGATTTAAGTTATTATCTTTCGCCCACGAAGAGATGCGTTCGAGGTCTTCGTTTACTCTAAACACCAAATCTTCAGATAGGCCAATCGGACGAGAAAAATATACTTGTGCATCGTCTGCATACAAATGTATCGAAACAGTCTTACAACAATAAGTTATATCGTTAATAAACATACTGAACAAAATTGGACCAAGTATAGATCCCTGAGGCACCCCCGAATGAAGACGCTTCATCTCAGAGCAGTTGCTTTTAATAACTACTTTCTGCCAACGATTACTGAGGTAATTTTCAAGCAATCTTAGAGCGCTAGCAGATAATCCAAAATAATTATTTAATTTTAATAAAAGAATGGAATGATCTACTGTGTCGAAAGCTTTTGAAAAATCTAAAAGCGTCAGAACAGTTAAATCGCCTCTGTCATAGGCAGGGCGAATGTCTTCAACAACCTTGAGCAAAGCTGTTGCACAACTAGGGCGGGCTCTGTAACCAGACTGACATTCGGTTAGTAGCTTATTTTTATTAAGGTATTCAGTAATTTGAACAACAACTAACTTTTCCCAGATTTTAGAAAGAGCTGGCAATATGCTTATTGGACGAAAATCCGTTGGCAAAGTAGCCGATGGCTTTTTAGCAGTTGGGATAACTTTCGCTACCTTCCAAGCATCGGGGAAAGTTGAAGTTGTTATTGAAAAATTAATAATGTGAGTCAAAGTGGGAACTATGTTTAGTGCTATAATTTTCAAAAACCTAAGGCTTATACCATCCTCTCCAACAGCGTTTGATTTTATGGAGTACAGACTTCTTATGACATCATCCTCAGTTACTGCGTTAAACTGCAAAGCATTGTCAGGTGTATATAGCAAATTTTTGTCTATTTTGAAATTTCTACTATTTTTGCAGTTGCTCGACTGTAAAAAGGAGTCGTTAATGGAATCAGGATCCAAATCGCATCCCGAATCGATCTTACATCCGATACCCACGGATTTAAAATTTTTCCACAGACTTTTAGCTGATAAATTAATATCAAGTTTGGTCTGAAAAAACAGTCTTTTGGAATTCCTTATTGTAAGTGTGGCATGATTTCTGGCGCAGCGATAAAACTCCCAGCTTTCATTTGTGGGGTGCCGTTTTTTTTCTCATTTAAAATACACAGAAAACTTAGAGCGCTTTGAGCGACCTCTAAATAATTTTTGATTTGAAAATAAAAAACAGGGGTATATTTTTGCAATTTAGAACAATCGTACAGTGCGAGAACATTAAAATTCCGAATTTTTTGCAATTGCATTTTCGGACCACCCTATTGTACATAAAAGTTATGGAAGTGTGCTATGTCTGGGGAGCAATTTTTAAAGTGTTTAGTTTCGATGATAGATGAAATCTTAATTAAGCCCAGACGATGCAGTTATGCACACAAGTTTACTTTGTAATTGCTGCCCTTTTGCCAAACTATCCTTTGTTTAACATCTACTTAATTGAACGCTTGACAACTCCACCCACCTGAAAATGATGTCAACACTCACAAGAGCTGATTTTTCTTTTGAGGTTTTACACGGTTTAACTACAAAAATACGTCAGTACGTACACATCGGATAAAAGCTTTTGAAGTTTAAGATTTACTTTGTCAAAAATGCATTGCCATAACATTTTATTTTTTTTGCAACCCCACAGCACCCACCACAGACTTAAATTGCACAATCGAAAAAGATGGTTTCGAGGGTTTCATCAACTCAACCGATGTGCCCGCAGATATTAGAGATAATGTGATTAAAAATAAAATACCCTTGGATTGTATCTGGCGCATACAGGTGCAGGATAATTGGAAGGTAAAACTAATCACTTGAATTGCTGAATTCCTACTTCAATTACATAAATGCACTAACACTACAACTTTCAATTTCATTTTTAATCAATTGCAGATACAAGTGAAATTCCTAGATTTTAAATTAAGCAAACCCAATGACTGTGACACGAATTTCTTAGATATCTTCCCAGAACAAACAGTCATGCCTCTTAGGTAAGTCAAGTAGTAATAGGGAAAATGGATGTTTTTGTGATAATCTCGCCTCATTGGCTTGTGGCCACAAAATCATGTCAAACTCGATTTGGCATGCAAAAACACACTACATGCATTACATACATACATATGCATCCATTTATATGTGCGCATAGACATCTTTCAATCATCAATGCCACTTTCACCCTACACGAAATGACAAACTGACAAACTGACAAACTTGCTGACTGACACCGAAGTGATGTGGAATATTGAGACTATGTACATTTCATTTTATCCATTCTCTGCGCACGCAGACATATGTACACTTGAAATTCTTTATTTCACTTTTACTCAATTTTTTGCAATTTTCCCATTTTTTATTTGCAGAATAAAAAACTTTTGTGGCTCTGCTGGTGAGGGCATCACTTCCGATACGAACACACTGCATCTGCGTTTCTTTGCCGAACAGGTGGCCATCAATTCGACATTTGCCATTTTGTATACCGCCTTTCGAGATCGTGGCACCGGTAGGTAGCAAACAATGAGTCAATGAATCGTGAATCAAAAAATAGTACAATAGAAAAACACCGAAAGACAAAAAAAAAAAAACAAACAAACCTTACTAAAATAACAGTTGATTGAAAATGATTTTTCTTTTTTCTAGAGTTTTTTTTTTTTATTCGTGTCGTTAACTACTTGCATTTGTCAATATTTGCAGCTTGTACTGAGGAGGAATACGATTGCGAGGATGCCACTTGCATCTCACAGGATCTCAAGTGTAATGGCCGTGACAACTGTAAATTTCGCTGGGACGAGGAAGGTTGCGATGTGAGTGAGCTTTGACAATTGCTTTTCGTTACATGCATGAATGATTGCGCATATGTACATATGTATGTATGTATATTAGGGTGGTCCAAAAATGCATGTGAAAAAGTAAAGTCGGAATTTGTATGCTCTCGCTCCCTAGGATTGTTCTATACCGAAAAATATAAACCCTTATTTTTTTATTTTGAAATCAAAAAATATTTAGAGGTCGCTCAAAGCGCCCAAAGTTTTCCATGTATTTTATATGGGGAAAAAAACAACTTTTCGTAGAAATGGTATAGAATTCTTAAAAATCAATATTTTTCTATCGAAAAACTATGTTTATCTGCAGAAGATTCCCA